ATGCAAATAAATTCGAAAACCTGGATAAAATGGATACTTTTCAGAGAAATACAATTTACCAGGCTCATTCAAGAAGCAGTATAACAATTAAAACAGACCAGTTATTACAGAAGAAATAAAGAACATTATCAAAGAGCTACCCACCCCCTAAACAAAGCATTAACCCAGATGGTTTCATTGGGGATTAACCAACCTTTAAGGAACAGATCATTCCATTTCTATTTATACTGTTCCAAAGCATAAAGAGAGAAGGAAAGCTTCCATTTGCTTTATATATTGATAGCAAAACTCAACAAAAATTGTCCCCAAAAAGACAACTAAAGCCCAATCTCAATTATAAAAATGAGGCAAAAATCCCAATTGAGGCAAAAATCCCAAATAAAAGAGCAATTTGATCTAGCAGCATACCATTTGTTATGGATTGAATTGCGCCCCCCTCCCCCACCCAAAATATGTATTTGAATCCTAACCCCTGTACCTGTGGATGTAAGCCATTCGGGAATAGGGCTTTCTTTGTTGTGTTAATGAAGCCATTATCAGTGTAGAGTCTCCATAAAATGAGCAAGGAAGCAAAAATGGGGAAAGACTGATCCCACGTGGAGATGTGGAGATCACTAAGGCAGGGAGGAAGACAAGCTGAAAGAGTCAAGGATTTCCCCCAAAGCAGACAGAGAGCCTTCCCCTGGAGTCAGTGCCCTAAATTCAGAGTTCTAGCCTCTGAAACTGTGTAAATTGTGAGAAAATAAATTTGTTTGCTAAAGCAACCCACTTGGTGGTATTTCTGTTGTAGCAGCACTAAGAAACTATGACTACAATAAAAAATATTCACCATGACAAAGTGGGGTTCAATCCCAGAAATACAAGGATGGTTCACTATTTAGAACTCTATTAATATAATTATTCATATTAATATTTTAAAGGGGGGGGAGATCATCATCTGGCAAAGTGAAGAATCATTTGGCAAAGTTCAACTGCCGTTCTTAATAAAACAGGAATAGATAGATATTTTATCAGGTTAAATAAGTCTCCATCTGCCCCAAAGCCAGCATTTTGCTTAATGGGGAAACACTAGAAGCTTCCAGTTAAAGTCAAGGACAAAACAAGAATGTCTATTATCACCACTGTTATTTTTCATTGTTCCAGAAATAGTAGCCAACACTACTAAATAAGACAAAGAAATTAAGGTATAAAACTTAGAAAGGAGAAGGTAAAATTATCATTCACAAATAATCCAAAGAGACTAAACTGAGAAACCATCACAAGCAATAAAAGATATCAGTAATATGACAGCATTTAATAGCCTTCATATAAATAACCTCCATTTAGAAGACGTAACTAGAAGACCAACCAAAAAAGATAAACTGTTGTGACCCTGATACTCCACACCATGTTTTCTCCTTTTTAAAATGGGCGATCGAGAGTTTGACATAACTAACGCCATGATGAACCTGTAAGTTTTTTTTCTGCCTGCCTTCTCCTTTCAGCATACCTTTGTCAATGACTTTGTTTTGTTCTGTCTGGCTACCTGTGACTTACACCCTCCCGCCCCAGCCCCAACACACATAAAGAGTAGAGCCCAGATATCCGGTCTGTAAATCTTTAGCCTGATAAGGAGATGTCCAGCATGTATCTCTTTAGTCTGATGAAGAGTCTCTTGTAATTATCTTGTAATGAGTGACTCATCCAGCCATACACATCTGTGGGCTACAAAGACACTTCTAACCCTTGCAAAAATCATATATAAGCTCTAATGTAAAATTGATTGCCTTTTCGGACTCCATAAAGACAGCCCGCGTTGCTGTTGGACTCCCTGTTGGTGCCACCTCCTAAATAAAACTTTCTCTCTCTGACTTGAGTACATTTCATTGGCTCGACTGCTCCAGGGCACAGACCCTAATCGGGCAACACTATCCAGGAGTAAACTTACCAAAAAATGTACAGAATTTAAATGAAGCAAATATTAAAACATTCCTGAGGGTCACAAAGCCTGAACAAAGGCATATCATGTGCTTGAAGGGAAAGATATCATAATAAACCCATTGCCATCTAGTCGATTCTGATATATAGCCACCCTATAGGACAGAGTAGAACTGCCACTGCCATGTCTTTCTGCCATGGAGTAGCTGGTAAGTTCAAACCATCGACCTTTGACCTTTCGGCTAGCAGCCAAACACAACCACTGCGCCACCAGGGCTCCTTAAAGACATCATAAAAACGCCAGTTCTTCCTAAGTTTATGTATAAAGTCAATGCAATCCCGGTAAAAACACAGGCAGGATTTTTGTTTTTACCTATAGCTCAGACAGAAAAACATAGAACAGCTAAGAAAATTCTAGGATGAAAAAAGAGTAATAAGTAACAAGCATCACCAAACACTGAAATGTATTATAATGCTATGCTAATTAAAACAGTATGGTACTGATACTTGAATACACTTGGAACTGTACCTTACACTTTATACCACGTAAATTACAAAACAATCAAAGATCATACATTTTAAAAAATCAGACCATTAAAGAGCTAAAAGAAGCCTTGGGGAAAAATTTTTTTAAAAAATCTCAGCATGAGGAAGGACTTTCTAAGTATGACACAAAACCCAAAAGCCATAAAAGGAAAGCACTGACAAATTTCACTTCACAAAGAAAAGTCCTACATGGCAGAATCAAAGACAAGCAACAAATTGGGGAAAACATCTGCAATTCATATCACAGACAGAGGTCTAATTCCTTTATATACAACTAGCTCCTATAAATCAATAAGGACAAAAACAACAACCCAATCAAAGAAACAGACAAAGGAGACAGATGTTCAAAGGAAAATCAAATGGCTTAACCTCATTCATATTAGACTTAATTTAAAACTGCCCTGTGACCTCACATGACCCTGCAATTCCGCTCCTAGGTATATACCCAAAAGAAACGAAAGCAGGAATGTGAACAGGTACTTGTACACCAGTGTTCACTGCAGAACTATTCACAATAGCCAAAAGGGAGAAACAACCCCAGTGTTCATCAACAGATGAATGGATAAACAAAACGTGGCATATACATACAATAGGCAATTACTCAGCTGTAAAGAGAAATGGAGTCCTGATGTATGCCACAACATGGACGAACCTTGAAAACCTCATGCTGAGCAAAATCAGTCAGTCACAAAAGGACAAATACTGTATGATCCCACTTATTTGAAATATCTAGAATAGGCAAATATATAGAGCCCTAAATTTATCAGAGGTTACCAGGGATGGGCAGGTGGGAGGGAGGGGGAAAGGGGAACTCAATGCTTAGGGAACACTGAGCTTCTGTTAATGGTGATGGAAAAATTTGGAAACATTTAATGGTGATGGTTGAACAAGAAGTTGAACATGATTAATGTCCCTGAACGGTACATGTAAAAAATGCTGACATGGCAAAAGTTTTGTTACCTATATGTTTACCATGATAAAAAAATCATTTATGGAAAAAACAAACTACACTGTGATACTATTTTCACTGACCAAGTGAGCAAAGCCTCAAAGTTTGATGCCATGCTGTGACAGTGGAGGCATGGGGAAACGGGTTCACTGACACACTGCTGTGGGGTGTCAACAGGTACGACATCTAAAGACATCAGGAAGACCCACATCTATCAAAGCTACACATGCACATACCTTTGACCCAGTGTTTCCACTTCTAGGAATTTATCCTACAGATTTACTCACACCCCTGTGACACACGGCTTTACTGCCATATTGCTTGTAACAGCACCAGGATGGGAATAGTCTAAATAGGGGACTGGTCACATAAATTATTGCTCATCCTTGCTATGGAAAGCTATGTGGCTGTAAAAAAGAATGAGGACGCTCTCTAGATGCTGACATACAGGATATATTGCACAAGTGAAAAAGCAAGGTGCAGGAGAGTGTGTAAAATATGTGTGCACACACATTTGCTGGACATGCATAAAACATCTGGAAGGATACCCAGGAAGCTGATAGCATTGGCTGCCTCTGGGAAGGGGAGCAGTGGTTGGGCAACACAGGGGAGGGGGGCTTTTGTCTGTATACCCTTTGTTCCTTTTGAATATTGGACCACATGAATGTATTAGCTTGTCTAAAGATAAGTAAATATTAAAAAAGAAAAGCAATCATGTAAGCCCAATGATAAATAGCAACTGATTCTTGGCTAGGTCAGAGGCAATAGGGAAGGGTGGGGACTGTGGTGAACTGAAGATGGATATCCCCTTAAGGAAGCAATATTTCAGTTCTCACCAATAGCAGGAGTGCAGGAACACAGGCTTGTAGTACCAGATCCTCTGATTTTTCAAAAGACACTAGAAATCCAGAGTTTTATGCTAATTTCCCTATTTTTAAATGCTTCCACGTACCTTTTTTTTTTTTTTTTTTTAAATCTTATGGGGGCTAAAAACGATCAGACTAGAGGGTATGGAATCCCTGTCCTAGGTGATCAAGAAGGACACACCCTTTGAGGTCACTGACTCCAGCTCCCTAAGCCTGACACATTAAAGCAGCAAGTGGGGAGAATGTGCCCAAGGTCACACAGAGAATCAGAATCCCATTCAGGACTGTTTTTGCTTCCACATTACCTTATGTTCTGCGAACATGAGAAAATGACAGTGAGGGAGGCAGACAGAGCACATGGTGGGGATGTATAGGAGGGCCGGGGTGCAGTTGGTGGTCAGGGAGGGCTGCTGGGGAGGAGGTCATGCTTGAGGTAAGACTGGAAGGCCCAGTGGGCACTGGCCAAAGATGGGGGTGCCATTGTGGGGAGGGGCTGCAGAGGGCAGCACAGCTGGGCAAAGGCTGAGGAGCTCAAAAGAATGTGAATTGAAGACAGGGTGGTGGTGGGTGGAGAGGCTGGATGTGCCTGGTATCCCTGGCCCGGGGGCCTACTCTGTAGAGGCCCTGAGGTGGGAGCGAGCTTAGTGTGTCCCTGGAAGAGAAAAAAGTCCCTGTGGACACAGAGTGGACAGAGGAGGGGGACAGAGGGCTGGTCCACTCACACTTGCGCAGTTCCAGGCTCTTGCTTGGGCAGGCCAGGTGTTGGCCCGGCGGGTTCTGGGTCCTCTGCAGACAGGCCAGCATGGCTGAGCTGGGGGCCCGTGGCAGGGCGTGCTCTGCGGCAGGGTCCCTGTGAGGAGAGATAAGGTGCTTGTCATAAGGGCTGCTCTGTACCTGCCTCCCCCGCCCACCCACCACTGGAAGTTCCTGCCAGCAGTCTCCACCCCCCACCATGAAGAACATGAGAGACTTTCAAAGCAGACACCCTTTCTCCCCCATTTGACAGATGAGGAGACTGAGGCCTGGAGGCATCAAGAGGCTCATTAAGGCTTCACAGGAAGGAAAAGAGTACAGGTTTCTAGAGTGGTAGCCTTCCACCACACCAGGGGCAGAGCTGACCAGTCAGACAGGCCCTGGGCCCCGCTCAGCGTGCACGTCACTTCCTCCAGGGACCTCGCTGATGCCTCCTGACCTGGCCAGGTGTCTGTTCCCACAGGGCCTGTCCTAACAGTCGGTGGCAGACACCCTCGTCTTTATAACCACTCGTGAACAGATCTGTATCTTCAATCGGTGTTGGGTGCATCACGGGCAAAGACCACATCTGGTCGTCTTTGGAGTCTGTGTGGAGGAGGACCCAGAAAAAGGCCGTGGGCGCATGGTGCCCCGATTTATCTAGCCATTGGTCTGCCCCCTGCCTGGGGTGTCCACACAGCACCTCTGAGTGGGAGGTGTCCAGGATGGGCTTCCTGGGAGGACGAGGGGCACTCTAGCCCTGACCCCTGCTGAGCCTGACCTTGACCTCGGACTGAGCCCTGAGCCCCATGCCATGCCACCAAGGCTGCCCTGGGGTGACCCGGGACCTCTGTTGCTGCCTGACTGAGCTCCCCATCCAAATGAGGAGGGCAGGGCCACCCACGGCAGCTTCGCCATCAGGGTCCCCCTTAGGTGGCAGCTCAGACATGGCTCCAACAGGTCCACTGCTCACCCACCCTCAGTCCGAACGCCTGACATTCACGTGGAAATGCACGTTCTAGCTTCACAAAACCCACTTCTCTGCTGAGGCGCTGAGGAACATTCCAGAGAGCCCACAGCCCAAGTGGCAGAGTCAGAGTGGGCAGGAGGTCTTGGAGGACGTGGTTAGAGGCCCAGAGTCTCCCTGCTAGCTCCTTCCTTCCTTCCCAGTAAAGAGCAGGCGGGTCCAGGTGTGAGTTCAGCTCTGGCCATTCCTGATATCCACCCTGCGTCAACTCAGTCCTCATGCTGGTTTTAAAAAAGGAGAAGAAAGAAGGGGGGGTGTGTGTTTAAGAGGAAGAAAGGGAAGTTATTTAATACTAAACAGGTGTCTGGAGCCCTGAATTCTGGCGCTTTTTTCTAATAATGAAGTATTCATGAGGAAAAGCCTTTTTTCGCTACTTTCTTAAGATACTAATTTCACAACAAGCTCCTTGTTATGGTGCAATTATTCCAATCTTGTATTTCCCCGAGACGGTGGCAGCCTCCCGTCTGTCCTGGCCTTGCCGTAAATGAAAGACAATCACGTAACCACCTTTCATTATGCTCTATTTTACTTTCAGCAAAGGTACCCTGAAAGAAATGATTTCCTCTGAAAGGGACTTTTATTCAGTTTCAAAACCAATTTTCTCCTATTACTGTCTCAAAAAGAGAGAGAGGGAGAGAAAGCAGGGAATGGATGTAGGGGGAGGCGGGTGGTTCTCAACAACCCCCTCCCCCCCCAATCACCAGCCTTAACACAGCAGCGATGCAATAAAAGCTGCGGTATCCTCTTCCCGGCTTTGATTTCTGGTAATTTTAAAATATGCCATTACAATCAGGCAGAAATTATACAGTTTAAAAAGCGAGTGAAGTGGGGCTTATTGCAGGCGTGAAAGCCCTTGACTGCCAGGACGTGGAGCCTCGACTTGGGGCCTTAGAAACTGAGGGGTGTTGGTGGGAGGCAGGCCTCGGTCGGCCGGCTGCCACCATGTCCTTGGCCACACTGTGCACTTGTGGCGCATTTTGCCCACCTGGACACCCAGGGATGTGTGGACCCTGGGCACACTGCCTGCCGAGCTGGGTGTCCACACGTACCAGTTCACTCTCGAGTAAGTGTATTTTCCAGGAGACAGGCACGTGTACACTTGTGCCCACACCCCCACCGGCATGACATGTGCCTTCACTCATGCGGGCATTCACTGGCACCCTCCCATGCACATGCAGGCAGCCCCACGGACACATGATCGTATGCACACTGTATGTACCTGGAAGGTAAGGGGCCCAAGGCAACACGCCCAGAAGCCAGGCCTTTCTTCCGCACTCCTCCCCTCCCCACCTCTCACTGCTCAAACACGGGTGGCAGGGTGGGACACAGAGGGGAGCCCGAGAAGGCCAGCCAGTTGTAGCCCTCTCCCCCGACGCCATTGGGCCACACCATTGGGCTACACTGTTGCCCACAGGCAGGAGGTCAGCACACTGATGAGTTAAGGAAGCCTGGGCTGGAAGCCCAGGACCCCCACCCCTAATGCTCACGATATGACCCCAAGGAAGCCACTGCCCCTCTCTAGCCTTGAAAAAGTGCTCCAGGACCCCTGTGGTCTCTTCCAGGTCGTTTTCCTCCAGGGCCCTGACTGTGCCCAGCCCCACCTACGAAGGTCCTCCCCACCACTGGCCTTTCCCCAGCCCCTCCCCAGGATCCCACAACTCCCTAAGGGCCACAACTCCCAGCATGCTCTGCAGCTGGAAAGGGCAGGCTGGGGGCTGCGTGTTAGGGGGAGAGGGGCAGGTTGCTATCATGGGGCCTCCCTGGACCCCATCACCTGCCCTCCAGCAGGCCTCTGGTTTTCGGAGTGCTCTGACGGTGGATGCCCACGCAGTCCTGGGAGCCAAGAGGGGTCGTCTGACCCAGTTCAGGGGCCACAGCAGACTTCCTAGAGGAGACGGCATCCAAGCTGAGGCCTCTGCTCAGCTTCTCCAGGGCAGCTGCCTGGGTCATTCCTTCCCTCACTTCTGGAGGACCAGCAGGCAAGGCCCAGCAGCCTGAGAACCATCTTCAGTTGGAGAGATTTTTCTCTCTCTGCACCCTCAAGCCCCCCCAACTCATTGCCCAATCTCCCTGTGTCCTACTGCTGGGGCAGGTGAAGGGTCCAGTATGGGAGAGGGGCTGGGCCAGCTAAGTGTGACAAGGACAAGTGGATGACCACTTCCATGTCCCCATTATCATCCCCACTGCCTACAAACAGGACAAAGTCACGTCCCTCTCCTTGGCCTTACAACTTCTCTGTCCTCAGAACAGAGCCCAGCCCTCTCTGCCTGGCCCTCTGTTGGCCACGCCGGCTGCCTCGCATCTCTAACCCTCTGCCCATGGCACTGTCACCCTGATCCATTCTGTTAACCTTGATCTATCTTTTCAGACTCTGGCTCAGCAGTCCCCTCCTCCATGAAGCCTTTCCTGACCCCTCAGATTGGAGGTGCCTCCTCTGGGGACCCTAATCACACTGAGTTGTAATGGCCAATTTTCACGTCTGTGTCCCTCCACTGGATGGGTTTCCCAGGGGCAAGGACTGTGTCTTACTTGTTTCTCTCCCCAGTGTCTGGCAAAGAGTGATTGTTTAATCAATAGGTGTTGAATGAATGGTTGAATCAATGAATCACTTATTGTCAGATGAAGTTACCGAGGCCCAGAGAAGCCAAGCATCCTGCACAAGGTCACACAGCAAGCTGGGGACGGACTGGGGCAGGCACCTAAAACACTCATGATCTCCCAGAGAGCCAGCTCTGCCTCCTTCCCAGCTGGCATCATCCTATCTGCAGAAAGTCACCTTCAGAGCCCCTACCCAGGCTTCTTACTGCCCCTGCCAGGAACCATCCTGGGAGAGCTGCTCATTTGGAAACCCTATCTGCAAATCGGACTGTTTATAAGCCCAAGGTCTTTTGTGACTTTAATAATGAAGTCAGGCAGGGGGTGGGGGAATGTTGCAAGCCACAATGATAGAATACTTTGGCACCATCCCTGACGTGGGGGCCGATAAGATGGCCTTATCTCCAAGACGCCCCAAGGAAAAGGTCCCTCTACCAGATAACTCCCCCAGCTGTCGATATGCCCTTTCATAGCTGAGGATTTAGATAAAGGAAATGTGACAGGGGAGGGGAAAGAAAGGAAGGAACTTTCCCAGTCCGAGGAGGAATTGAGTCTGTGCCACTCGCCTTGGCAGAACAATGAAGAGGAGGAGAAGGATGTCAAAAGGCTGTCTTTTTTTTTATTAAAAGAATGGGGAATTGGGGCCTTTGGCCCTGCTTGCCATTTGTTATCTCTCCCTCACCTGGTGGCTATGGGGGCATTGGGGAGCCCCCAGGACACTGGCAGGGAGAACTCAGAAATCACAATGTGCACATTAGTACTACTACTGCTACCTTATGGGCAGTTGTACGGTCACATGGGGTCACTATGAGTTGGAACCAACTCGACAGCACACAGCTACTACTACTAGCAGTGAGGACTTATGGAACGTTCTCCCCGTGCATCACACCTCACCGCTGCCTCCGAACGGCCTGGAGGAGTGGGTTCTCTTTTCAGCCACATTTCATAGATTAAGAAACAGTCACAGAAAAACCAAAACCAAACCAGTTGCCATTACGCAGATTCTGACTCCTTGTAACCTCAAGTGTAACAGAGAACGGCTGCATAGGGTTTTCTTAGCTGTAATCTTTACGGGAGCAGATCACCAGGCCTTTCTTCCACAGCACCACTGGGTGGGTTCAAATGGCCAATCTATAGATTACTAATGAGCATAAACTGTTTGCACCATTCAGGGCCCTTAACAATCACCGGGCGGGGAAGTCATCTGCCCAAGGCCACATGGCTTCTAGATGGCAGAGCCGGAGTGTCTCAACCCCAGCCGCAGCCTGGGTCCTCACTGCCGCATGTGACAGCCCCTGCCCTTGGCTCCACTGTGTGGGGGGGGCTGTCAGGCCCCAACTCCCGGTCAGCTGGGCATGGAAGAGCAGAAGCAAGGGCTTCTTCTCCCTGGTGCCCAAATCCACTCTGATTCTACTCCAGGAGGAGCTGGGGCACAGAGAGGGAGAAGACA